CTCAAACTCGTCGACGACATTACCGCTGCTATTCGTCGGAGTGGCCATCGCTGACACCGGTGGCGATGATTCTTTCATTTGTACGATTTATTAAACTTGTTTCTCGTATTGAAAAAGTATTGAAGCGATAATATGCGATATCTGGAGGGTGTTGAGTGGTAAATATGATTCGTATACTTGTCGGTTACACTGGGAAGTACGATGATAGCATCTTCGTCATCTCACGCACAAAGAATCTTGTAAAACCGACTAAAATAAATGAAAGCGAGCAAGTGCGCAGCCAAGCGCAAGCGGCCATTAAAATTACAGAGATTGTATTGTGGTTCCGAAACTCACCACTAGTTGACACATGACTACAATTTAAATCTAAAATATTTATTGCAATCAATTTTAAGCTAATTTTAACTAAGTAAATATTCAATTTAAATTTACTAATACTAATAACACTAATATTTACTATTCTAATTGTTTTTATTTTATTTTATTCTATTTTGAAAGTACGAATTGAGTGTGTCAATAAATACCAAATGTTTTAGTTCCAACATTCACCGCCAGTTGGCGCTAATTACACCCAATGCGGTCAATTTAAAATTATCCCAACTAACAAGGAAATGCTTACTTACAAAGCGAATTAAATCAATTTTAATAAGATTATGATACTAATTGGGTTAATCACACAACCCAAAAGTAATCCACACTAAACCTGCTTGCTAAATTGTGTTAATATCACCAAATTAGTAACAATTGCACCCAAAATCTAAAAAACACAAAAATACACAAAAAAACATAATTTATTAATTATTAATCAATTACCTTAAATAAAAGTTCAATATTCATCGTACTTTTAGACCCAATCGTAAACTGCACTTGATTTTGCGCTAAATTCAATGGAATATCCTAAAAATCAATAAAATTATTTTGAAATCATGAAAATCCATAACTTACAATATTCTCCTTGATAATTTTATCACAAAACATCACAGTAAACAGCCGACATGTCTGTGTACAACTAGCAGCACACAAAAACATTGAGCAAAGACTGCAGAACGTAATACAACTCCACATCGACGCGTAAATCTTCAAAAAGAAATTCCGTTTGACTTTCTCAACGTTTTCTTCACTCCCAGCGTGTTCCAACAAGATAATCAAATGATACAACTCATAAGT